TAATGGCCAGGAATTTTGGGGATACATGGTGATTTTTCATCTTATATTAACAAACAAACAAAAAAAAAAAAAAACCACACACACACACACAGATAAATCCATTATGAGTAATCCCTCACCAGTTGCACTTTACAACACCATAGTACAGGGTGTAGGCTATACCTACCATAAATTGAGGCCTATAAGTCGACCTCAAGATTTTTAGTTCAAAATTCAGGTTTAGTTCTATACTTGCCATATAAGTCGACCCCCCAAGGCCCAAACAAAGGTGATAGTGTGTAATAAGGCCACGCCACTTTCATCAAGACACTTACTGTAATACCTTTCAATATTTGATATATATATATATGTGTATATATATATATATATATATATATATATATATAGTTCATACAAAAAGGGAAGTGGGCAACAGGATCTACATAGGACAGCAAGCAACCACTAAAAATCTTCAGTAAGTTATCTTCATAAGAACTCTGGTAAACACCAAGCCAAAATCAGCATCTCCAATAAAATAATAATTGTTTACACAGCATACCAGTAAAGCACCTTGATAGTACAATCTATAAACGGTATGATAGTAGAACATTATGGTACACCTGGCTTACGATCCGCCATTTGCATCAGCTGTTGTAAACAAACTGCCAGTGGCGCCACCAACACCAAGCGGCCAGCTGCAAAACTATGGGTCAGTTACACTGTCGGCAGCACAGCAGCATGGCTTAGACTTAATCTGTCATCCGCTGCGGCACGGTTGTTTGAAGAATTTGCAAACGCAACAACTTTCAGCTTGAAACTTGCGTCATATTTCATACTTTTTGCTGGGGGAGCCATGGGGATAAGATATTTTCAACTGTTGTCAGGTTGGTGTGTGGGTAATGAGTGGATGCCAGCAAGAGCATAAAGCCACAATGGTTTAGTACATTGCCAGTGTAGGCTTGTTCAGTGTATCCCCCCAAACACCGAGAGAGCCCTGTAATTATATATCGCCATTTAGTATATGGCGAACATCTTGGGCCCTATCTCGCGATATAATCCGACCCTACTGTACTTAAAAAGTTGGCTCAGACAATTTTGAGCTAGGAGGTTGTGAACATATTGGTGTGTACAGGTTTTATTTCTCCCATGTTTATTATAAGTGCCAAAAAATAGCTATAAATTTTTATTATTATTTTCTTTAATATGTTGCAGAGCAATCGGTTACGAAGCCAAAGATACTATGGTTTATGCCAATAAAAAAGTTTTGGGGAAATTGATAAAGAAAGAAAAAAAATCACCATGTGGTCTTGCCTGCCCCAGGTCCTCACAGATGTGATCTTGGAACTGGAAAACTTAAAACTTATCTCGTGCACAAGGTTAAAATGATTCTATTGGTGGTTTTGTTTTTGTTTGAACCAACCACAGTTCGGCATAGTGCGTGGGTGTGACCTTTGGGTGAATTTGAATTACCTGTACTGTACAATAATCCCCCGGGTTACAGAAGGGCTGTGTCCTTGGAAAGTTGACCATAACGTGAACCCCATCTTCCTATTGACTTAGCAGTACACAATTGGAGATGCACTCTTTAAAAAAATTTCGGCAAAAAGAAGTACCTGTAATACAAGCACACTTATGAATGAAAATACTGTACAAACTTTTAAACACATACATAATTTTTTTTTATGTGATGATAAATATACAAAACACTTGAATTTAACTCGCCACAAACAATGTTGAGTGCTGCGTGAGGTGAGGTGGTGCAGTGGGAGTTATTGGGAGACGTAGCAAGCCCTAATGTTTTTGCAATCTGGCTAAGTTTTTCTTCCACGTCAAACTCCATAAAACATCGTTTTAATCAAACGCAATTCCTTTACAGGCTCTTTTAGCACCACTGGATTCAATTGCACTTGGTGGCCTCTTTCCACTAATCTTGAATAAGGGTAATACACTGGACAGTCTTGAATAAGATATGTATACTGTAAGTGTTAAATCAAAGAGCTGGGGTCGAGAGACCAAGTGTACATGCTGGGAGATATAAACAAACAGTCCAGCAGAATGGGTGTGCTATATACCCACGTTTGGTGGTAGCAAACATCAAGAAGTCCACATCAAATAAAATATGCCTATGATTTATTTTTAAATAAAATATATACCAATTTTTGTGTTAAAAACTAACAATATTTCCATAAGGTCAAATTTATGGGCAGTATCCCAAACTTAGTAGTCATAATTACAAATTCTGCATGGGTGAATTTCCACAACCTGAGTTTCCGTAACATGGGGGATACCTGTAGTTCCAAGATGGCAAGCCTATGCAAAGTTCCACAGGAAGTACTATGGAGTTCATGATGAAGCTGTACAGTTCTTAAGATCACTTGGTGCCCTACCCACCGAAGCTCAGTGTTCACATTGTCAAGAACCTTGCACGTTAAGGGAAAATAAGCATCAGTGGTACTGTGGACGTTCTCAAATCAAAACAAAAACCAAGAAAAGAAAGAGGTGCTTCTTTATTGTTTTGGACAACCGAGGAACTTTTCTTGAAGGTTCTCACTTATGAGCCTTGGAAACTGCTTTTATTTGTTAACCATTGGCTGCAAACGAAGTGGGACCACCATAACATCATCAAATATCTCAACATTTCTACTAAGAGTATCGACTGGCACGGCTTCTGCTCAGAGGTGACAAGCATAACAAGTACTGGTTTAAGAATAAGGAACATACCATTTTCAATATTGGTGAACTTTCTGGGGGTGACTATGGTATACTTCCAAGATTCAACCCTGCCTTTTGAATGTCATTTTCACACACACACACACACACAAAAAGAAGACCCGTTTTGGTGTCTGATGCACGGAAATGGATGGAAAAATATTGACACGTCCACAGTATGGTAAAGAGTTAATTGACTGACTGACCATCGGACTGCTGGGCACAGAAGAATGAAAGGTAAAGATTTAAGAATCTTTTGAAATTAAATTGTTGGACTTGATTGTGAAGAAAACAAATCGATATTAACCTTATTTGTAGGCAACACCCGAAGAAACTTCTCCTAAAGCGTTGGAATTCCAGGATACCAATAAAGTGGATGAAATGTACTGTATTGGTATAAATTGCTGGGTATAATAGTCATTCTAACATCTCATAATAAGAAACACAGAATAAATTATTATTGGACCACTGATGAAATGAGGTTCATTCAAAAACTTAAATTGAGATCGATTTTTGCAACTGTTATGCCTGCTACTTTTCACCGATAATAATACCCAACCTTCAGGTGATGATAAACTGCAGAAAATAAGGCCAGTGCTAGATAATGTCTGTTAGAAATTTAGGCCATTCCAAGATTTATACAGTACTGTATATTGATGAAAACCCAGAGACTGATACACGTAAGAGTGAACCTAGCGATGTTGCCAAGAAATAGTGTAGGACCCTGAAGTTGAAACAAAAAGTAAACAATATCAACCGGTTGACAGTTAGAACAATTCTGAAAGACTAACTCACATAACAAAATGCCAATAAATACCTTCATTACCAGAGAGGAAAAGTTAATGCCTGGATTCAAAACAGCGAAAAACTGATTAGACCAATACCACGAGCAATGAAGGGACTCTAAGTCACATTTAATGAGGAAGTCCTCAGGGAATATCTCATAAATCGTTTTTGTCCAAGCATTTTATCTTGCTATGATTTTAAAGGTCTTGAACCAAAAGTTTTATTACTTGTGCATAATGCCCTGGATCACCCACAGACCTTAATGAACCTCCCCCCAAACACTACAACCCTCCTCCTTCAGCCCATGAACACTGGTTGATTACTATGTTTAAGGAACATAACTACAGTAATTGAATCTTTAATCAACTTTTTGAAGCTTTTGATGGGAAGGATAGAGAATTGGTAAGTTCATTTTGGGAGTCTCACAACATTAAGTCAGCCACAGACAACATTAAAGGGGCTGGAGAATATTTGACAATCAGTTGTTTGAAAAATGTTTGGCTTGAACTTGTCTATGATTTTGAAGGATTCAGCCAGGAGGTAATTACCGAGATTAACAATAACATTGCTGCCCTGGCCAAAGAAGTTGAAATGACAGATGTTGATGCAGAAAATGTACATTAATGAACCTTATAATACTGACTTGATATCTTGACAAAATAATCAAGAGGACTGTGTTGATATTACCATCTTACATCCACTTATCTTGCCTTTTACTTACAAAATTAATGCAGTATTGTACGCAGCATTATTGTAAATTATCATCCACGATAGTCTTGTCAAACTGTCCTGCTCCTTGACTATTTAAGAGCACATCTTGAATATTACATTTTATAAATATTAATTAAACACTTTTGATATGTACAGTACAGGTACCAAGTCAAGAATCATATCACAGTATTTTATGGCTAAGGCCAAAAACTAATGTAAATTCTTTATTTTATTCTCTTAGCCTTTTTCTTAAGAAATATAGTTCTATCAAATAATTGCAATAAAGTGAAAACTACTGTACACAACCATAAAAACGGAAAAAAGCCATCTTCATGACCTATGAGTAGAGTTCCCAGAGGTAATACCTGTATTGGTCTGAAATTTTATTATTTTTTTTTTCATTTTCCAAGTGTTTGTAAATAGTGCCAGACATGACATGAAATGATCCATGAGTAAGGAAAGAGTCTTATCTGAACTATCTATTTGATGCAATTGCTGGCCAAAACTGGCATGTCAGCATCATTCCATAATGAAAATAAATTATCATATTGTAAATTCTATTGAAAAGTAACATGTCGGGTGAATCACTACGAAAAGTTAAAAACAGGTAAAAAATCACTGCAAGCATAAAGACTACTGAAGTACAGTACAGTACTGTAGTTAAATACAGTAATTAAATTTTTTTAGTCAAATGTCAATAACATTACACAATTACCCATTTACAGATGTCAGTCACTGGATGCACAAGCTTATTTCTATATACAGTATTATGGGGGAATAAAATGTTATTTATAAGAAATACTATTTCTACTCACCCTCCCTCATCCTCAAAATTGTCATCTTCATCATCCTCCTCTTCATCACTTAAGTCTTCCTCAGCTCCTCCTTCCTGAATCTTTCTATAAATTTCAGCTGCTTTAATTGCTGCTTCCCTTCTCTTTTCTTTTGCTTTTGCTGCCTTCATTGCCTGCACTTCAGAATTTTTTAACACAGCCTTTCCTTTCCCGCCCTTACCACCTTTGCCCTTTCCTTTTCCAGTCTCTTGCCCTTCACCACCATTCACAATTGTGTCACCATTCTCAACTTTGCACTCCTCCAATTTACCTTCGTCTGTATCGGTTTTCTCAATTTTCTTTGAATCTTCAATTTCTTCACCCCCTTCACCATTTACCATATGTTTTGTTTCGTCTCCATTCACCTCAACATCTGTCTCTACTTTGGTACCATTTTGGTTACCTTCACTATTTACTTTAACGTTCTCTGTGTTTGATTCTTCTGTAACACCCGATGATGAAGATTGTGGTACAACTGGCGACTTTTCTGCATCTTCCTCTTCAAGAGCAAATTTCACTGGGCTCTCTGAGTCTGATGATTTATTACTCTTACTGCTCTTAGCCTTCAGAAATGGAGAGACTCCCTGCAAGAGGCACAAATTCACTTCATCAATACACAAAAATTATCACTGAAGCACAATTAAGTCATTATATGGTAGAAAACAACCCAATGTGAGATTATGGTGACAAAAACAATCTTTAGTTGCACAGAATAGAAGAAAATTACAAAACATCAATTTGAATTCCTATCAATCTGATTTATAAATTGTGGTACAAAAGTCTACCTATTTTGTTGAAACAATGGTCATTCAGGGTAAAACTGTTATAATATAATAAAATACAGTACAGCATAAGTATTTATTATTAAGCTTCGGTCTAAAATTCGTCATGAGCACCACTGCATCGTGGAACACACACATTTCCGGAGTTATTTCAGCAACTTGGGGCCACAACAATACCATTCTGCCAATTTTGTATGTCTGTAATACCTAGGCTTGTAAGCCTCACAAAAACACCCAAGAAAGAAGTCTAATAGCGTTAAATCAAGATATTGTGCTGCCCAGGATCTGTTTCCAACATGTCCAATCCAGCGAAGGTAAGAGGTCATCAGGGTACACACGATATGAAGCTCCCTCTACCTCGTTGGAAGATAATGGTGTTGAGAATGCCATCTGAATGAAGTTGAGGTTCTAGAAACAGCAGAAGCATATCAAGACAACCTGGCCTTGATTGGCAGATACACTGATGATGCTCACATTCAATCTTAGACCTAAGATCGATAAGAAATATACACTGTACAAGTATTTTATATTATTGTACTTTAATCCTAATTAACCATTTTCAACTTATGGACTACCCTGTGTTTACTTCCCTTCCACTCATGTTTGAGGTTATCAAGGGAAAAAGAAACCGCAAGAAAGAAAGAAAAACTCAGTGTTACACAAGACAGCCATAAAAAGCAGAGTTGTATCATGAAAAATACTTTACACCATCATCAAATGTTTTATGGCTGTTTTCCATGCCTCTGTGGGTTAACCTTCACACATGTACAAAGCTCTGGATTTGTACATAAAAAGATTGAAGCTTGAACCTGATCTCCAATTTTATTACCAAGACTAAACTTTGTGACTAGTTTTAGACAATCAGATATAAAGCAATGAATTTAACTCATAAAAAACCCTGAAATAGCCATTTTAAAAATTTAATGATAGTTTCACCTTTCCCCTGCAACCAGACCCGTTTCCCCCAGAGCCCTAAGAGCATTCTCTCAGAACTGCCATCCACAGCACGTGGTAAACAATATCAAAACACCACCAGTGCAAATCACTTGTATTTAATTCAGATAAAACTCAGGAACCCAGTAATAGCCCAATCCCCAGTGCGAGCCACCTCACAACATATCTCTGAGAGTAGAGAAGATGAGTCAATTGGTCCAGTTTCAGCTATATAACAGTAATTCAAGCCTAATCCTTCATTTAGAGCCTGTCACTAGTCTATGAAGAATGATGTAATTTACCCATCAAGTATAAAATCTGCAACCCAGGGCAACCCCTAAAAGGGATTCTCAGCACTTAGTATAACTTTCCCATCACAACTCTAGCCATTTTGAGAACTTAACCCCCCAACAATTTTGCCCCCTGCCCTGTATATCAAGTCTAAATACTGTATACAGTGGTTCACCCCCTGAACCACCTTTATACTCTGGTATCGCTCTCGCATGGGCCAACCCACCCAGCATCTCTTGCCCGTGCTCATTTGGAGAGAGAAAAAAATAAAAATAAAAATAAATGAATATATATATATATATATATATATATATATCGTTCGTTAACCGAATCCATTGTTTCAATGGGATATTGGGTACAAGTAATTGATTCTAGCTCACAGAAAAGTACTGTACTTGTACATACAAAGTAAAAAAAAAAATGCAGTAAAGTACAGTTACTTTGAGGTGTGTATGTAGAAGGTTCCTGGTTGATGATGATGATGATGGGAATTAGAAGTGGGGGTGGAGGAGAAGGGAGAAGAGAAGGAAGTGGGGATGGAGGAGAAATCACCTTTCAGGGGACCCATGCTTGATGCAGTAATTTCACCAATAAAATTTTAAGTTCACTAGGTGTAATTCAAGATTATTTTATTTAAATCAACACTGCACTGCACTATATATTATAATATGTTAACTAAATTTCAGAATGACCAATAATTTTAATGTAAAAATGCAAAAATATTCAAGACGCCAACAAACTCGATGTTCACTCCACTGTCAACAAAGCCAAACTGACGCCTGGTGGCTGAGTCAAGCGGCTGATGGGCGCACAAAAAACTAGTTCCCTGTACTCCATATACAGTATTGTCAATATGTTAACTACATTGTAAAATGATTAATAATTTTAATATAAAAAATGCAAAAATATTAATAAGCAAAAGTTTCTTGATATTTACTCCACTGGAAACAAATGTAAACATAGAACAGATTACTGAATTGGCAGACTAGCCCATCAGCTGATGCTCACAACAAAACATGATGTTCCTTAGGATTTCATAAATTGAATTTTTGTTCGTTAACTGAATTCAAGATTCTTATGGACGGTAATTCGTTAACCGAACTGTTAAATAACCGAGGGACCACTGTATGTATGTGTGTGTATATAAATATATATTATATTATATTATATTTTATATATACTGTATATATATATATATATATATATATATATATATATATATATATATATATATATATATATATATATACACCTAGACCCCGACTTACGACGGGGTTAGGGACCCAAATCCAGGTCGTAAGTCCGACATGGTCGTAAGTCCGACAAAAAAAAAAAATTTTAATAAAAAATCTACAATGAAATACAGTACAGTAAAAGTAATGAATAATGATGAATGGATACAGTACAGTGAAAGTAATAAATAATAAGGAATGGATACAGTGTGACTGAGCACTTAACCTTTAATGTAGTCAGCTGAATGCACATGGGGCCCCCATAATTTTCTAATTATACATGGAGACTACATTAACTGGAAACGTTTCGGTATAGAAAATGCGTGTCATTTATATCTGATAAGGCGGTCGAAGTCCGATGTAAGTGTAAGTCGGGTATATATATATATATATATATATATATATATATATATATATATATATATATATATATATATATATATATATATATATATATATATATATATATATATATATATATATATATATATATATATATATATATATATATATATATATATATATATATATATATATATATTACAATACTTATTGTGGCTTACAAATAATTTTAAGAAAATATAAAACTATAAAATAAGAAAAATGAAGAGCATGGGTGCATATATGTGTGGAGTGAACAAACGCGTGGAGGCAGTGGGCTGTAACTGTGTCGCCATCTTGCCACGCCCCCACCCCCCAGTGTGATATCATGGTATATCACCTGTCTTTGTCAGATGAGTAACAGCCATGCTGAAATCCATTGTCACCCAGAGGATGGTTTCAGTGTGTATGTACATTTAAAGTGTTCATATGGTACCATAGGTTTAATATTTGTGTTCATTTGTACTTTTTGGGTGTTTATATGGTACTATTGGTATAATTATTGCTAAGGCGTCCTTCTCTGTGGTACTGGTTCCGTGAACGGTTTTTCTTTTCTGGTGAATTTTACCACAATTGTGGCTCAAAAGAGAAAAATTAGTGGCAGTGTGCTCGTCATGGTCAGTGAGAAAAAGAAAAAATACACAGTGTGTGAGAGCTCTTAAAGAAAAAGTCAAGAAATTGGACATAATTAGGAGTGGTGCATCGAACTCTGAACTAACGCAGGGATCCCAGAAACATAACCCTCGCATACTCTGAGACTCTACTGTATATAAAACTACTCAACACCCCTTTCTTTTAAATAACAACCCAAGAAAAGAACTGTTACATTACAAACATACACACAACATTTTCTTAAAACTTTATTGGTTTGTCTGAGGGGGAACGAAGTCAGTCATCATAAGATACCTGCTGACACAGAATTCCTCAATACTGTATTTATCTAGGAGGCAATACTGAAAATTGAGCTGACAGCTACAATTTGTAACAAAATATGTTACTAATATTTTCATGCCTCCATATATACCCCTCTTGTGGAGCAGACAATTGCACAAACTTACATATATTACAGTGATTAGATTAAGAACAGGAAGCATTAATACTCTCTTTATATATATATCAACATACCTTTTCTTTTTTACATCTACTAATTTGTGGGTTTTCGGCATATTTGGCAATGACTTCATCAAGGGGCATTGTTGCCTCTCGATACAAGTTGTCCATTTCTTCACTCTCAGACTCAGAGTTATCTGCAACATGAGGGAAGTTATTGACAAGAAAATAAAAAAATAAATACCAAATAAAAACCTTAATCATACAACATTACTGTCTCCATAACATTATCAATCTATTCCTCCTCTCTCACTTTAGTATGGGAAATCATACGGCAGTTAATAAATTGTAGAAACAAAAGAAGCAAGAAAACATGTAACTGATAGTCGCACACATTGTTCATCTCTGCAACTTGCATTAACAGTATAGTAACAGTATACAGGTAAGTAAATCTTAACATTCATATTGGTTCATGTGAATTCACGGTGGATTACACATTGAATAAATATTATTACGTATGAAACTACAGTACTCTAATGTTCATAATGCAATCATTCTTCAGGTACCATTTCAAGAGATCCATAATTCATATAATGTACAGTACTCGTTCAGTATAATTTCTTCAAACTCATTTTCACTCCCCCTTCTGCCCATGTGCCTCCAACTGTGCTAACATAAGTACAGTACCTACCTCACTCTCATTCCAATACACTCCAGATACCTATGTCGTCTAAGCATATTCATCCATTCATTTCTGATTTTGTTCTGCATAAATTTTATTCCTTAATGATACTATCAAACTAACCATCCCCACTCATCTAGCACCCAGTCTGTCACTTGCCTGGAACACCTGAGCCTCACCTCCAAATGATTTGGTACAAGCATTCTTTTGTGTAGTCTCCTTGAACAATTTAAACTCAAGGCTCTTCCCCTTAATTTATGCTCTCAGGTTCCTTCAGGTTTCTTGCATAATTCTATTAACTCCAATATTTCCATTTCCCACTTCAATGAACAACACTTCTAATACTTAAATGTATTCACAACCTCCAGCTTTTCTCCATTCAGTGACATTACTCCAAGACATGTCCTCTCCTTAAAACATCATCACCCTTGACATTTATCAAACTCTCTTCTAAAAATTCTCTCCAACTCTCCCCCTCTTTACTGGAACAGTACTACTACCCACAGATAATAAATTTGACAGCTATCATGGTGTCATCAAGTTTTAGTTTCATCTGCAGTCCTTCACTCTTATTTTCATTTCACTTACCAATTCCATCCACGGACATCACCCCTAGTGTGTAACGTAAAATCTTTTAACTAAAAAATTTATCATTACAAGAAAATATGTTTCTAATACCTTCTTCTTCCTCCTCATCCTCATCTTTTGTACCAGCAATTTGCTTGAGTATGCTGACCACCTCAGGTTTCACGAGGGTGGCATCAAACCCGAGGAAAGTATCTGTAAGTGCTTGAGATATTAGGCCATTCTTGTAGGCCTCTGTTTCCTTTAAAAAGTCTGGTAACTTTAGTGCTGTATAGGCAGCCACTTCATGCCCTCCATGGCCATCATACACAGCAAAGAGGTGAGTTTTTTTATCATAATCCAAGATTGAGTTGTGAGCATCCTGGAAGAAAACAATATGATAAAAATTTTATCTCCACAAAATGCAAATGTATTATTACAAGTAATTTGTTCTAATATTACAGTAAACCCTTGATAACTCAGCATTTAATAATTTGATATGTATTAGTATAACTTGGGAAATGCATAGATATATAAAATTATCTGGGAAAATCTCGGCATATCTGGCCACATCACCTACCATGTCTCTGTGCCACTTACTTTGATGCTTTATTCTTTGCCTGCAGTGCTGCTAAGTGTTACTTTTTTACATTCAGTAATTACATGCACACATATATGGGTAAAAAAAATTATTGTTATATTTTGTAGGAGGGGGAAGTGCCTCAATAAGTCGGAATTTGCCGAGTTATCGAGGGTTTACCGTACTAACATAAAACCTATAAGGTTAGGTTAGGTGATGATACTTCCTTAGCTTAAAACAATAATATACTTAGCTCTGGACCATAACCTGCTAAGAACCATATGTTACTGAAATGTGTTGTCTATTGCATTGTATTCCCCAACCTCTCCTCTGTCCCCTGGGTAAGTCAGAGAGCTAACTGGGAACTTGTACATGTTGATTGTCGGTGAGTCCTCTGAAAAGACTATTGTATGTCACACATTCCTCCCTGAGCAATTTTCTTCATTTTCTATAATGGCACTTAGCAGATTGTGGGCCAGAGCTCCTCATACAGTATATGCTAATATCTCCAGTACTTAACAAAAAATTAAATAAAAATAAAAATAAATAATAGAAACCGCAACCAATGTTAAACAGGCCTGTGGGATCAGAAATTATTTAACCTATCAAGAGGCCAAGAAAAGTATAAACCATTACCAAATGTTGATAAGGTCTGATGCTCCATGAGACCAGTCTCCCAGTTCTATAATGTCTATAATGTCAGTCAAGCTATCAGTTATATACAAAAAATAGAGATCAGAACCACATATGCTAACAGATATATGGATAAAAAATTTAAGAGCCTTAGGCATCCTCTGCCACTCAAATGGGTACCAGGTAAGCATAAAATAAACTCTTTAACCTTATTTTATTCCAAACTAACTGGGGAGAAAACCTTGAAGTCTAACACCCTGAGTAAACAAGCATTACATCCTAGAGAGATTCTTCATGATATCCAAACGTTTTCCATCCCAACCACAAAAATGTCTTACTAAATACTTCCATACAATACTCTCACAGCACCTGATAGGCTCTTCAAAGAACAGTTTATAGTTTTGTTACATGGTTAGGCTAAATTACTGTACTGGTCACGGCATTAGCTGACAGGTTGTTTTGGGGCTAATTTGCCAGTTCATTGTTTAAGCCAGTGGTCCTCAACCTTTTGTAGGCTCTGGGCCACATTATCATTGTAAATATAGTGGAGGGCACCAAAACTTTGGATCTACATTCAAGAAAAAAAATCTCATATATACGGTACTGTACAGTTATTTGCAGTTTTACATGTCCAACTGTTACCAGTTACATACTTTTTACATTTACTCTTGGACAAAACGTGTGCATTTAACCCAGTGAGAAGGCTGGCTCTCTCTCTGGGCCCGGTCTGGGGCAAATACACACGTCCTGTACACCAAAGACTCGGGACAAACGTGTCCCCCCCCCCCCCCCCCCAAATTATAAAGCATTAATTTCACTCTTACAAAGAATCCAAAATTATTCACAATCAGAAATTATTTAACCTAACAAGAGGCCAAGAAAAGTATAAACCATTACCAAATGTTGATAATGTCTGATGCTCCATAAAATGATTCCGTGGGTGTGAACTACAGGTTGGGGACCACCGATTGAGTAAGAGAAGTAATGATATACAGTGATCCCTCGGTTAACGATTTACCTTCTATAAGATTCTTAACTTCGGTTCACGAGCAATCCCTCGATGAAAAAGTTTTTTACGAGCCGGCCTCAACATGTTTTCGCTTACATTTGGCGGTCCACCAGCTGTAGTATTAGTCCGCCAATACAGTAATCGGTTTAGGGCTTAAATTCCTTACTAATTTAGTAAATATAAAGAAGTTTATACTATTCAATAATTTTAAAAGTTTAATATTAACTTTTTTAGTCATTTTAACAATTATTGAACATAATTGAAGGTAAAGAAACTAGTTTCTGGCGTGCCATCCGGCCTGTTAACACACAAACAGGCGTTAGTCTCTCCCTCTCTTTTCAGTGGAGGTAACATCTTGCTTGAGACTCCCTTCAACTAAACGCTTTTTTTCTGTGTTTCCAAGCAAATTATTGGTCATTTTGAAATTTATTGTACATATTGTCAATATGTAATGCAGTGCAGTGTTGATTTAAAGAAAATAATCTTGAATTACACCAAGAGAACTAAAATTTTATGGGTGAAATGGCACCATGGGATGAATTCTCTTCCACCCCAATGCCTTCTCTTCTCCTCCACCCCCATTCTAATTTCCATCATCATCATCATCATCAACCAGGAGCCTTCTACATACACACCTCAAAGTAAGTGTACTTTTCTACCTTTTTTGTTGAATTTAGGCAATTTTCGATGAGCTGGAACCAATTACCCAAAAACCCATTGAAACGATGGTTTCGGTTAACGAGCAACCTGCTGGAACGGATTGTGCTCGTTAACCGAGGGACCACTGTAATAGTATTTATTGTAGTATGATATTTATAAAAATAACTTGGTGATCCTACAGTATGTGGTCCACATGGATATTTACACTGTAGCATCCATTAACCTTAGCTATCTTTATTTAATATATTCTAACCCAACCTAGGTTGGGTTGGGTTAATGGATGCTACAGTGTAAATATCCCGGTGGACACAACTCCAGCTTGGTAGACAGCATACTATAGTAGCACCAAAAATTTTTTCTTCACTCTACATATTAGAGTACAATACACTATCAAGCAACCTAGGACATGAGTAATTAATGAAGAAGTACAGCAATATATTTGAGGCAGAGCTTGCTATTTAATGTAAGAGCTTGTGGAACCGGACACCCCGAACAAAAAGTTTGAGTTAAAGGAAAATTTTTCCTAACAGACCTTTATATCCCTAACATGTCTCTAAAGACAGAATTTTCCTATACTGAGACATGTAGGAGGAAAGGTTCTGTAAAATCTTTTTTTTTTTCCTTAAATCCAAACTTTTGGGTTAGGGGTGCCCAGTTCCACAAGCTCTTACATTAAAACAGTCAGGGCACCAGGCTACAAAAGCACCCTGCATGTTTTATCTAGGTTATTTTATGTAGGCAGGTACAGTTGGCCAAGCTTCCACCTTTAACACCGAGTAGCGGCTATGAAAAATGTGACAACAGGGCAGGTGTATGTCTGTGAACATATAAGCATCCGAGTCTTTGAGTCAGAGCGAATGAGTTGTGTTGCCTTATCACCAACAAAAGTAATAATTACGGCTGTTGTGTGTGATGTCTGAGAAATTCATAATACTGTAATAACTTAAAGCAATAACTATACAGTATAGTCTGCATTTACGCGGTGCCTTGTCAGAATGTAAATGCTTTAATTACGCGGTAAATTTGGTCATTTATGCGGGAAGCGGCGTGGGCAGGGTGCGCACGAGGTCGCCCAGTCATCAAAACATTACCGAGTTCTTCACCCGCCACCCACCACAGCCGGCCCAAGTCAGTGAGTGAGGATATGGACTTTGAGGGGTTTGACGAAGAGGCCCTGCAAGCTTCTGTGGTGGATAGTGATACAATTGATACAGGTGAGGGCCAATAATCTGCCCTCTGCCCAGCCATCTTTTCTACTAACGTAAGTGTTAAAAAACCTAATATTATTGATATTTTTCTTAAATATTAATTGTGTGCATACAATCATATAATTAAGATGTTATTTTTACTACAACGTACGTATTGTGTCGGAAAAAGTGGAGTTTGGGAGTCGGCCCAGTCTCTATTTCAATTAATCCCATTTGTTCTGTTATTTCGTTTACGCGTACCTCCACGGGTTCAATTGACCGAGTAAATGCAGACTATACTGTATACTGTATTAATAAATGATGAATGTTGCAGTCACCATTTCAATTATTCCAATGAGTAGCCTCAATCTAGTCTGGTTATTTTAATACAACAATTATACTGGATTAGAAGATATTATGCAATGAACATGTATAGATAAGTGTGTAACTTGAGATATATAGTTCAGAATATGTACTTCTCTTGTTAAATACACCAATATCAAGAAGTGGACTCAACTCCTCGTATGAACCGTCTCCAGACCAACATTAGAAGAGGTGAATGCAGATACCAACATGTTTTATTTCATAAGGTAAGACTGGAGCTGATGGCTACCACCAGAAGGAGTTGTCCGATTTTGTTCATTTTTTTTCCACAGATGTTCTTTGGATGATAGTAAGTATTTATTTTAAAATTTTCTCTATCTGCTATCATAAATCACCTGCAGAGGGCAGGTACCAGATATCAAAATGAGGATACTTTGTTTGATGTGCTAGTCCCCCCCCCCGGCTAGGAAGTTAGGTAGAATTCGTTGGTTGGTTAGGTCATGTTGTATTAGGATCTGTACAGTCATATCATTTTTATTACTATCATCAAAGGACATCAATGGAAAAAATTAACAAAATCGAAAGCATTACAGTGTTAGCCATCTGATCCACGACTGCCTTTCAAGATTTTAAATTACAGTGCATTATTTTAGTAAGTACTCAGCCATTTTGGGTCCAACGTATGGCAAATTAAAAAAAATATATACTTTAGGATATATCATTGTAAATAATTAGAGGTTGCCAACACCTACTGTACTTATACAGGTATATCAAGTCTTATATAGAAAGTAAGAGAAAAAATATAAATAATTTAATCTATAGTGTTTCTGTTCCCATAAAATTACCCAAAATATTTCTCGTTCAAAGAGGACCGGGCTTTAATTTACGTGATGGTGTTGTTTTCAGTACTGTACTCATATGAGGAGGGATCCATAAACTCAAAAGCAATTCTTAAAACTTTTACAAGTTAGGAAAGGTTTTAAGGTTTT